TGTCTGGCTAAGAATGCTGATTTGTTTTTTGTTTGTTTGTTTATTAAATATTAAATATTTCTTGGTTTACAAAAGTACAGTGGCACATTGGTTTACGAACTTAATCCATTCCAGAAGTCCATTCTTAAACCAAAGCGTTCTTAAACCAAGGCGTGCTTTCCCATAGCAGCGGGGGACTCAATTTACAAATGGAACCCACTCAACAGGAAGCGAAACATGTTATTATTCCAAGGCAAGGTTCACAAACCAAAACACCTACTTCCAGGTGTGCAGTGTTCTTAATCCAAATTGTTCATAAACTATGCTGTTCTTAAACCAAGGTACCACTGTATGTGCAATGTCTCTTTTTTCAAGTTACATTTTCTACAGATCAGTTTCATTTGTTGAGACATTAGTGTTACATTAGGAAGAAAAGGGGGAAAGAGGTGGAGGGTGCCTGACTAGTGAGGGTGGGGTTGGGTGGTGATGTTTCTATTCTACTTAATGTATGTGTGGGGTTTTGTATCAGCATCGCTTGTGCAGGTTCTCTTTGCTATTCGCTTGTGTTGCTTCAGTGGTGAGAGAGGTTGGGGTAGGCCTAGGGTGTTGTTGCTTGCTTGTGATTGGCTGTGGTGAACTTTGTTTTCATGTGTGAGTGGTATGTGTGTGTGTTTTTGTACCAGGTTAGCCGTATTGATTCGTATGCTGTTGGCGGATTTTTGTCATTGTCTTGTTGGGCTGTTTATGTGATAAAGGGGAGCCCTACCAGAGTGAAGGCGTCTTCTTCTATTTGTCCCCATGTCAGTTTTAGTTTATTGGTTAGTTTTTCTAATAAGGCTGTTTCCCATACTATTTGATACCATTGGTCCATGCTTACTCCTGACAGGTCTCTCCAGTGTCTGGCTATGATGTTTCTGGCTGCTGAGGGTAGGTTCACCCCACATGTTATAATTTACCTTTACTGGAAGGCAACTATAGGGGTTAATCCAGAGAAAAGGACAGAAAGGAGAAACCCTCAAACAAGGCTGGATGTGGATGTGGGGAGAGGCAGAGCAACAGAAATCCAGTTTGCTCTCTTCCAGTGCTTTGATTTCCTCCCAAGCTTCTTATTCCCCACACAAACGGCAACTTCTGATGATAGCAAAATGAATACAACCCTGCCTTTTAAAATAAGCTACAAATGAAACAACAAAAAAGGCCCAGACAAAATCCATCTCGACACCTGCCCACCTGTCAGCTACATAAAACCAATCTGCTGAAGCAATAGACATCAGCCGCTGAAGCAAGCCCACTACAAAAGGAAATAAGTTACAGTTTTCTTCAGACATTTTAGTCATTCATCTCCCCTAAGCCCCTGTGGAATAAGCTCTACCTGTAATGTGAGACACTACTAGAATCTCTGCTTCACCCAATGATAGTAGCAATCTATTGTTTCTGAACTATGTTGTCCCTTGAGTTATATCGCAGCTCATGCATTTTTGATCTGTGTGACAATCGTTGTAGCATCACGCCTACAACAGAGGAAATAAGACATTGCTGCTACGGTTTCTGAGTTTCTTCAACATTTTGCTGCAGCCTCATATAAAATGCAATCAATTAAACAACAATAAAACCAAGGCAAAAACTGGAAAGCAGCTATATCTAGTTCAGACTGGGATCCAGAATATACACCTATATTTGAAGCAGTATATGCTGAAGCAGAGTTTCATGTGTGTAAACACACAGGGACACATAGTGGACACATCCTGGTGCATACTGACTGGTGGCCTGCCAATAACAATGCATGTTTTCTGAATGTTTACAAACATATGTCACCTTTTCAAATGTGATGGTATTTGCCACTGCTGAGTGCCAGTGCAATGTAGTGATAAGTTGACTTAAGACCAGTAAGACCTGGTCATCCTCAGCACCAGCCTTAGAGAAGAGCTGCAGCTTATTTGGTCAGCTCCACCTTCAGTTCTACCTAAAGCTGCCCTTGGCCTGGTTGAGAGGCTCCAGCTGAGGCCAAACTACTGATGGGGACAGATTATCATCAGTGCATAACTCTGGTGCTTAAACGCTTACATTGACTGGTCGTACACTACCAGACAATGTTCAGGGTTCTTGTATTAATTGACAAGGTATTTAATAACATGGGTCCAGGATACCTCAGAGAGTGCCGTGCTTCAAATGCCTAGCCTCATCCCACAAAGAGGGGATCCCCCTCCTCAAAGTATGATGACAGATCTCTTAGGAAGAAGAGTTAGTTAGACATAGCCACATGGCAGAGGGGTTCATGAAGAGAAGACCCAGCGCAAGCTGCTTGAATTTGAAACCAGGTAGTAGATTCCCATATCATTGGACTAACCTTTAGATTCACTTTCTTAGCTTTTTGAACGAGTTCAGAATCCTTGCAGTTGGTAATGAAAGTGAAAGAATGGCAGACCAAAAGCAGCAGACTGCTAATATTTTCCCCTACCAGACTGCCAGGAGAATCACAGTTTCAGTTTATTCTCCAGCACATAAAAGACCAAGTATCCACACAAAGCATCTGAAGATACTTCACCACTGTGACCTACTTGCAGGAGCAGAAGGACAATGGTTTTGGAATAATATCTGATTGTAGCATGTCTGCTGTCAATGAATCCTTTCAAAAGGGCATCCTTCTAAAGGAAATGAAAATGCAGGACTGCTGAGGTATTGCTTTGAAGAAAAGTCCAAGATACAGAACAGTATTTTATACAATAGTTTCTGCACACTACCATTCATTGTTTGGTTAGAAAAATGGGGTTATTTTCTAGATGATTTCTCTTTCCAAGTCAATGTAAGCACTTCTACTCATGAAAGGTGGGGCCCCAGGTTTCTTCTAATCTACTTACACACACATTGCAGCTATTCATAAAAGTTGCACCTGAGTCCTAGGGAACCCTTTGGAACGGAATGTAATTCAACAGAGGGCTGTAATGGGTGGTGGTGCCCAGCCTTGTGTGAGTGGAAGTGTTTTCTGTTAGTGCAACACCAGTGCTGGATACAACCCTTAACCCCATGTCTTCCCCCACTATGTACCCTCCAGATGCTTCAGACTACAAATCTCATCATCTGTGATGGTGCTGGCTAGGCCTGTCATTCAAAACATTTGGAGGACACCAGGTTGGGGAAGGCTGCCCTAGCATATTACCCCCCTCCCATTCCAATTAATAGAAGTGCCATATCTTCTGCATTACCAAACAAAGAAATGGCATGACTGCCTCCACAGTACAACTACAGGGTTCATGTAATGGAAAAGGGTGGAACATGTAGGTTGACCTGATTTCCCTTTTAGGAAAGGTCTGGTTTAAAAATGCACGCAACTCGAAAGCTTTCTACTAATTTCCCATGAAGTAAAATATATTTATAGAGTAAGAAAAGGAAAATCAAATCAACAAATGTTCTGAAAATGGACTCCTCTGAGGAAAATGGCTAGAATCACAAATATGTAATCTTGACCTGCAAACAATAGAAAACTTCATAACACCATTTATGATAGCACACTTACACCAGACCAACACTCATTCCTCAATAGCCCAATACAAGAATCGGAGATATTGACCATTATCAAAAGGCTGAAACATGGGAAATCCCCAGGTCCCGGTGGATTCAGTGCTACATTCTACAAAAAGTTAAACGTTGAACTTGCTCCATGGCTCACTAACCATTTTAACAACATACTTGAAGGCAGTCCTATTACTGAATGCTGGAGACACTCCAAGACAGTGTTCCTATGTAAACCTGATAAGGACCCAACTCTTGTAGGATCTTACTGGTTTCCTTAACTAATTAGGATGTAAAAATATTGTCAGCGCTAATGGTAAAGAGGTTGAATGTGTTTATAGGCACACTGACATCCCCCAATCAAACAGGAGTTATACCAAAGCAACACATATCATACTCTTTCTGCTGAGCCTTGAACACCACCCATAATTTCCCTCCAAGCAGAATCCAGGCAGTCTTCATTTCCTTGGATACATTCAAGGCCTTCAACAGAGTTGAATGGAGCTTTATTAAATTTTTGTTAAACAAAATGATTTGGGGGGAGGGGGGAATTCCTCCACTTTGTAGACAAAATGTATTAAAAAACACACCTCAGAAACAATCTAATGAATGAACTCAGCTCCTTGGCAATCCGACTACAGCAAGGTACTAAACAAAGTTGCCTGTTGTCCCCCGCAACTCTTTGCACTAGTGATCAAAACCCTGGCAAACAAGATCAGAAATGGTGGCAACATTTAAGGCATAACATCAGGAAAAAGCTCACATACCAGCAATCTGTTTGCAAATGATGTCTTAATAATGGCAGAAAATCCCAGTCGAGCCTAGCCAGCTCTTCAATCCATTTTACAGCAGTTTCATGCAGCAGCAAGACTCAAAGCAAATAATTCAAATTCCACAATAATGACCTTCAATATTCTTAGAGAAGCAAAAAACAACAAAAAACAAAAACACAAAAACCCCACCTGCAAACCTTGTCTGGCTTCCAGCCATGTTGTGGGTGGTTCAGATATGTGGGGGTGATGCTAACTAAAGATTTAAAGTATCTGTACAAAAGAAATCACGCCAGTCTTGCTTCCAAACTAAAATCTGACCTTTGAAGGTGCAGGTGGAAACATAGTCCTTTCATGGCTTGGTCACATTGCCATCCTCAAAACGACCACCGTACCTTGCTTTCTATTTTTATTCCAAGTTCTGCCAATAGGCATTCCAACTAAGATCCTCAAGAAGTAGTAACACACAATGGAACTCTACACCAACAAAGGCAAGCACAACAAATCAGCCAAAATTACTCTCTATAGACTTAGATCTAGAGAAAGCCTCAGCTTTCCTAACTTACAGTTTTATTTCGACAACTTCCAACTAAAGCAAATGCTCCACATCATCAGAGGTTCGGACATTCCCTGGATAAGAATGGAGTCCTCACCACAATCATTAACAATACAAGGCCTTCCTTTATTGCCCATGTCCTGGAATGCAGTCAAGAAAATTAAAATTCCATTCTTAAGACTTACCTTGTTGGTCTGGAAATGTTGAGCTCCTCTTCTGGCACCCCTTCCATCTATGGCTTTCCCTTTCCTCAATCTTCCGAGCTTTTGACAAGAGGATAAGTATCTATAATATAAATAATGGGTATTCAGACTTCACAATCTTCTTCCTAGAGGCAAATCCATTGAAAAAGAAGCACTAGCAGTCAGGCATCTTCTACACATGGTTGCGGGATTTACCAATTTGTTCATTTGCACACAAACTCTACAACCAAGTACAACCTCTGATATCTCAAACTACATTTGAACACCTCTGGCCCTACCCTGGACTAGAAAAGGATAGCTTCCCAAAATTATAAACTCCTGTTTGACCTACAGGTGGGATCCATCTACAACTCTTAGATCCCAATGGGATCATTTGTTGCACTTTTATCATTTTACTTACACTTTTTAAAAACAGCATTCCATGTTTAGTCTTTAAGAGCACGGTGATATTCAATAGTACTACAGTGGTACCTCGGGTTACATACGCTTCAGGTTACATACGCTTCAGGTTACAGACTCCACTAACCCAGAAATATTACCTCGGGTTAAGAACTTTGCTTCAGGATGAGAACAGAAATTGTGCAGCAGCGGCAGCAGGAGGCCCCATTAGCTAAAGTGGTGCTTCAGGTTAACAACAGTTTCAGGTTAAGAACAGACCTCCAGAACGAATTAAGTTCTTAACCCAAGGTACCACTGTACTACATAATGGAAGTTTTCTTTCTGCTTCAAGTGGAACAGAGATATGCATCACTCCCAATGGTGCAACGGGATTAGTCACGTGGTCAAATCTAAACGCAAAGCAGCTTGGGACTTCAGGTGTTAGCCTCACTGACATCAAAATGAAAAGGTACCGTATTTTTCACCCTATAGGACGCACCGTCCCATAAGGCGCAGCTAGTTTTTTGGGGGGAAATTATTTTTTTCCCCAGGCGCGCGGCTGGGGTGGGGGAAGCCCGAGCTTCCCCTGACCCCTGACCCCAGTCCCCAGAACAGGCAACTCTCCGCAAGCCGTGGGAGACCGGCGCCGGGCTCCTGCACCTTGTGGAGAGCTGCGCGATGTCTGGGCGTGCTGAGCTCAGTGCGCCCAGCCTTCGGCATGCAGGCAACTCTCCGCAAGCCGTGGGAGCCCAGCACGGGCTCCCACGGCTTACGGAAATCTGCGCAAAGCCTGGAGAGCAAGAGGGGTCGGTGCGCACCGACCCCTCTCGCTCTCCAAGCTTCAGCGAAAGCCTGCATTCGCCCCATAGGACGCACACACATTTCCCCTTCATTTTTGGAGGGGGAAAAGTGCGTCCTATGGGGCAAAAAATACGATATATTGCTTAAGCATTATTTTACAGTTGCAGCCTTGTTGATTGTTTTGCAAAATCTTCCACTTATACAGAACCAACAGTTTATATTTGTCCATATTAGACTGCTCCCGGTGAGAGAATATAACATCCTGATTGTATGACTGTGAATCTCCATTTCAATTTTTACATTTTTAAAAATTACTTGTTTGCTTGGTTTCCACAGTATTTTCTGTTGCATCAAATAAAAATAATCCTTCTTATTTCCTCTTTCCCTGCTATGAAAAATACGGGCAATATAATAGAGCTCAGATAACATGCTATGAGGAATTGTACACATTTAAATGAAGGCATATACTTCAAATCCAGAATCCTAGTTAAGTGGTCTCAGGAACCTCGACTCATTCATCTCACCCTGGCTGAGAGAAAAATAGTACAGTGTCTTGTGAATATGCAAATTACTGAGTATTAATTACCTCCAGCAGCCATATATTCCAAGTTTAAGTGTTAGAACTCAGCCAAGGCAATAAGACCAAATCAGGTCTGTCTTCGTAATTTACATTTTTATAGTTCTTCCTAAAGCAATCCAGAATTGACTTTTACTGCCATGAGAGGGCATAAGCTAGTATATAAATGTACTTACTACACTTGTTATAGATGTTGCTTTTAAACAGGGCTACACTATTCAACTGTTTTAAGCACTGTGTAACATCCTGGAGTAAAAACTAGCACCGGTGAAAGTAGAGCACCTGAAGGAACAATAAAATGAGTAACCAATCAGTCCTGTGCATGTAAAATCCCAGAGGTTTGATAGGGGCATAACCCTACATTACAGTACAAAGGCTTGCAGCTAAACTCCCAACAGCTGAGAGGAGATCAAGGGCAGTACAACACATTGCCTCATCAAACTGTGTTCCAAAATGTTAATGTACCCTGGAAGTCATTGTGGTGTATTGGTTAGTGTGTCAGGCTGGGAGAGCAGGGTTCAAAGACCCACTCAGCCATGACCACCCTTCATCCAAAGATCACAGGCTGGGAACAACATAAAAATGTGTTGATCTCAGACTGAGCCTCATAGCAGCTTCAACTCACAATAGGTAGCTGCACTTTCACTGAGAGGTGTTTCTCCATTTAAAGGAGTCCAGTCTTCTACAGGTGTTTACTGGATGAAGGGTGGTATACAAATTAAATAAATAAATAATAAAAATGCACAGCATCTCTAAACTGATTTAGAATTGCTAGAGGACTTCAGGAGAATTATGCTTGAGTCATAAGTATATCTCCTACAATGCAAGTTATGAGCCAGGAAAATTGCAAGATTCAGTTCCGTCATTAATCTTCACCTCTCCCTCACCTGCAATATGGGGATAATAGCATTGACCCACCTTATAGGAATAAGGACTGTTATAAGAATTGCTAGGATTACAGATGTGAAATGTGTCAAACACTTGAAATGAGCTAAAATAAATGCTAAGTATTATTATGCATCTGAAGGAATAGGCTGCTACTGATTAAAGTTCACACTGCAGTAAATCTTGTAAGTGCTGCAGCATTGGGGGGGGGCATTTCTTTCTCTTTGTAGACTAATGAGGCTCATGATTTTTTTTTTTTAAAAGGCAGTTAACAATTGATACTCAGTGTTGATCTGTTTGAGGTGGCTATGGACATGCTAGCAGGAAGCGCCAACATTTCCTATGGAAAAGGAGACCACACTTCCACATCACTGAGCTTAATCCTTGTTTTCACAGAAATCAGTTATCAAATAATTAAAAATCACACCCAGTATTTCAACATATATTTAAAAATATATTAAATTTGTCAGTCGCATTATCTTGCCCAGAGCAACCCAAAGCAAATTATAACCAAACAAATAGACAATAAACCTCACACAGGTACACTAAAAACAAGAGGAAAGAGAAATACATTAAAAACATTCCACCCGCTTCTAAAAAGCCACTAATACTTCATGGCCAAAGGTCTGGTTATAGAGGAAAGTTTTTGCCTGGCACATAAAAATATATAATGATGGCGCACAGCGAGCCTCCCTGGAGAGAGCATTCAACAAAGAAAAGGCCTGTTCTTGTGTTGCCACCCTCCAAATCTCTAATGGAGAGAGCACATGAAGAAGGGCATCAGATGATGAACATAGGGTCCAGGTCAGTTGATATGGGGAGAGGTGGTCCTTGAGGTATTGCAGTCCTGTGCTGTTAAGGATTAATCGGTCGAAACCAGCACTTTGAATTGGCAGCCAGTGCATTTGGACCAGGATTGGTGTCATATGCTTAGATAGATAGATGATAGATAGATGATAGATAGATAGATAGATAGATAGATAGATAGATAGATAGATAGATGGATGGGTGGATAGATAGATATGAATAGCCTCTGCCTGTCTTATAGTTCAATCTCTAGTTTGTTTTTAGTGTTGCACAAATAAAATGAAACTAATGGAAACTATGGCAACACACTAGATATCAGTTTACTAGTATCCGTTTATCCCTATGTGAAGCCAGGCTTCCCATTTCATTTGTTCCTTGAAAAATACTACTGCTTGCAAACTGTTCAGGTGGTGGAAGCATTACATGGGAATATCAGACTTTGACACCTCTGGAAAACCTGTCTACAAACCACGGCTATGCTAGGGATGGGAGGAGAAAGCCCAGAGGCATCCAGCACTGAGAAGTATTGTAAAGCAAATTGGGCATTTCCTAAGTGCAGTTATTCTGACACTCTTCTCTCTCTCTCTTCTTTCTGAAGAGCAGCTCTCTCCCCTTATGTCATGCTGCAAGTTTTTTCTATAAATTTGGAGGAGTCTGAAAAGCAGACTGTGATGTGACACTGTGGGAGGAAGGTGGGTTGCTGCTTAAAATGAAAACAAGAGATCCACTCCTTCATGAGCAGATCTCACCTTGTACTACCTTTGATCACAGCCACCATGCATAATCCAGAAAGCACTATTTCTAAGTGTGTGGGGGGAATCCTTCATTTTGAATCAAGGCTCCCACAGTTGGAGTTCACCAACAGTAAGTGATGACGAGAAGTGGAGGGCGCAAATCTCCCCATTCCAAGAAGTGCTCCCATTCTGAGCCAGACCCAGGTCCATTTGCGTCTGAGGCCAAGTCAAATGGGGCCTAATCTGCTGCCTTGCCACTAGCCATGCCTGCCATTTCTACCCTTTATATTACAGGCTCAACTTCGGCCCTCCAGATGTTTTGAGACTACAATTCCCAGCATCCCTGACCACTGGTCCTGCTAGCTAGGGATCACGGGAGTTGTAGGCTAAAAACATCTGGAGGGCTGTGGTTGAGGAAGCCTGCTTTATAAGCAGTTGCAGCTGCAGCTGCAGCTGCAGCCGCAACAAAATATTTCTGTTTGCAAAAGGGCAGGAGAAAACCAGTGGTCAGGAGAAGTCTGCTAGATGCTGCCTTAACCTTGAAATGACAAGGGGTGGGAAGGATTATTTCAAGCTCATGACAGAAAACATAGGAAGCTGCCTTATATCAAGTTAGATCTAGCTTAGTATTATCTGCATTGATTGACAGCAGCTCTCCAGGGTTTCAGGCAGGATTGAACAAGGGACTTTCTGCATGCAAAGCAGATGTTCTACCACTGAGCTGTAGCCCCTTTCTTAGGTGGGCCTGCTGTGAGTTCTTCCTACTCCTAACCCTTTGCAAAGAAGGGGATTTTGCTTGTGAAGGTGAAGGTGGGAACTGGTAGGAAATGGAGCTTGTTGTGGCTAAAACATCTTTGTGTGTGTATGTGCTTGTGCATGTGCATGTGCATGCATCAATATATTGCATTTACTTAAAACATTTTTCATAAATAAATTCTGTCAAATACTATAACAAGAAGCAGCAGCAAAAAGTCGTATCAAAGTTGTGTTGTTTTTTAGTATTTGAAGTGATAGCACATCAATACTTAGCACTATATCCTATACAGTACAATAAAGTCACATATAAACAGAGGCATTTTCTTCTTCTTTAAAAATGTATCATTTAGTGAAGTCCAGCAACCTGCTGGAAGCTCACAGGTTCCATGTTGTATTCAGAGGTGCCAAGCCTCCTTTATGGACCATATACATGCATTTGCAACACATGCACTGCCACCTCAGCTTGCCCTGCAGTACAAAAAAGTAGTGCCTACATTTTAAAGTTGTACACAATCAGGAGAGTCCTGATTGCATGAACCACCTACATTTGTATAACTGTGTACATAATGGGTCCCCTCTTTTCCAGGTGTCTTGCTCAACGCACAAATATTGAGATAGAGGCCAGTGCATCGTAATCAAGAGCAGTATGAACAAGGAGCTCTCTGCCCTCTTCATGAATTTAGAATACCCACAGACCAGCCCCGCATGAATAGGGTTTATTTTTGTGACATGAACCTGTCAGTTTTGCTACTTCAGTTTCTGAGGGGTGGGGCTGGATAATAAGTACATTGGGTCAAGTGCATTAGTACATTTCTTTGTAGGTTGTTACATTTGATACATTTTCTTGAAAGGCAGCAATGATAAGATTTATATGTTCTTATGCATACCCATTACATCTCAGTTGGCAAAGACACCAATATGGAATGTCATGCTGCAATGAATTGCTTTAAATCCACCAAGTAAATGTAATACATCATGCAACGTCTAGTGAAGACTGCAAATTTGGTTTTCTGCGGAAAACAATACCCATGGTCCTAATTAAATATGTGATAACTTAGATACACCTATAAATCTGGAACCAGTGAAACCCTAAGTACGTCTGATTTTATTCCATGCCTTCCTCTTGCATGGGCACAAGACATATTAATCAATAAAGCTTATAAGGAATATGTAATTCATCATAATTCCACTGAGATACTGTTTGCTGGTCCAGACCACTAATTACTGAAAGCCTTTAAAAACACTTTCATTTCTTTCCTATCCTAGACAGCCTGATTTTAAAAGAAAGAAAGAAAGCACACATTTTTAAATGCCACATCATCAATTATTGTAATGCCACAGAAGATTAATTTAGCCAGGCCAATAATTCTCATAATTGACATCTTATTTCAAGGACAGAAATGCTGAGGAATGACAGAAATATATATTTAAAAAATAGCACAAAAGAAGAAATTGGTATCAATGTTTCAATCATGAGTCAGGTGCTCTAGGTGGGACACAGAAGAGCCTGAAGGTTTCGTTATTATATTTATTTACTTCAGTGATCAAATGGTTTAGCCATTCATGATCAGGATAGCTTCATGAAGTTTCATCTCACTTTCTAGTCATGAATTAGTCAGACAAATAGACTGAAAAACAGTTTCTATCCAAGAGCTGTGGCCTTTTTGAATGCTGTAACTCGATAGTGTGACCTGGGAGTTTGATGGGTGTTGGTGTGGGTGTGGCTGGAATGTGGTTTGTTTGGTTGTTGTTGTTGTTTTGCTTTTGTTGTTTTAAGGGATGGCATCCAATTTCGTTGCACTTTGTGCAATGTTGCACTTGTGTAATGACAATAAAGAATCTATTCTATTCTATTAAGGATGAGAGATTTCAGTGGCTTAACCATGTTCCCCAGTGGTGTTTTCTCTCTTCCCACCTCCAATTTAATTGTTATTAGTTTTCCAAAATTTTAAACAAATTAACAACAAATTGAATTGAATTTAACACCAATTTAACTCCAGTGCTATTTTTCTAGAAAAAGAGGTGCCAGAACTCACCATGAACACCTGCCCTCGTTCTCTCAGCCACCTGAGAGGTGCTGGAACTGAGTTCCGGTAAATTCCAACTGAAAAAAAAGCCTTGGTATAGGAGCCTGCTATTATTTCAACTTTCTAAAGTCAAATATTGGGGGGGGGCATACAAATCCATGGGGATTATCTAATATAATCCTTTGCCCTTTAGCCCCAGACATTAAATTTTATTAATGGCATAACAAAATAACAGTGAATGTGTTTGTTTATATATATTTATATGCTGCATTATATAGGTACTCCAAACAGAAATCGTCACACATGTACACACCAAGTATAAAACAACAACAACAAATGAATTAATAACTGAAGCACAATTAAAACTCAAATTCACAAGCAGCAGCAAAAGTCAGCAGATTTATAGGCCAGGTATATTTGTTGACCAACAGTCTATTGCTGACCACTAGAGCAGTTCCACTATGATAAGTAGGCCTTACTTCGTTGCAAGTAATAAATTGCTGTCTATTGTTTATGGATGCAGTGAAGGAATGTAAAACTCAATTCTGCCGTCAGTTTGTTAACGTAGCTTGAGCATAATACATTGTCAACAAGCAATTCGATTTTATGACGCCTCCCTTTCTTTTGCTTTTTAAAAATGCAGGTCAGTTTGAACTACTAGTTGGTTACTGCAGAAATGTTAGGCCTGTCGTTGCTATGGCGATGTGCCATTAGCAGTGAGCAGGTACTCTCAGCAATAGATATATTCTTCCATCATGCCTGTCAAAAATGTACCAGGCCAGTACATTTGGCACCACGCTGCTATATTTTAACTCTGAACCACAGTTTTCAGGCAGTGCCTGGCAGAACTATTTTCGTCTTTTGTATGTTGTGTTTCCTTGCTCACTTGACTGACGCCTATAATCACATGAAGAGTAAGTGCACCTTGCGGAATGAAAGGCCTTTTGTTGACAACTAAATGGTAGGTGGGGGTTTGGAATGATAGACAGAAAAGTTACTGGGGTGAGGTTGTGGAAGGTTTGTGCAGGAGAGGATAATATTGGTGTGTGTTTTTGCTTAAACCTGCCCCCCCCCAAAAAAAAACCCCTGGGATACAGCACACAACGTCATTGAGAAGGATGCTATTTATCTAGAACAAAAACAAGTGTTAGAAGACAGTAAACAATGACTCTTTATCCTGTGTCTGGAATCTTTTAGTATACTACAGCTTTCCATGTTAAAGATATATATATATATATATATATATATATATATGCAGGTTTTGGTGTCCTCGGGTGTCTTCCCGTGTAAAAGTTGGGGTGTCTAGGTGACGTTTCGACGAGGTCTCACTCGTCATCTTCAGGCTGGTGCTTTCGGCTTCTTGTTACTGGAACAGAGCAGGATCTCAGTGTTTGAGTTCCTATAAATACTGTTGAGGGGGTGTGGTGTATAGCCTCCAATGTTCTGGGCAGAGAGGAAGTTCCCAGGTTAGTGTGCCTTTTCTTCTTTTGTTCCTTAATTACTTGAGGGATATCTTGAGTGATTTCTTGAGTGATATCCTGAGTACCACTTAGGTGGGTCATTAGGTGTGGATTAGTTGCTAAAGCCTTCGTGTCTTGACCTCTTGAACTTTGTGAAGAGTTTTTCTGAGAAGATGGCTGTACTGCAATTAGTTGTGCTCTGGCTTGGCTTCGTGTATAGGGGCGAGCTGTGGTTTTGTGTCCTGTGCCAGCCAGATCTGTGTAGGGATTGCAGGGGGGTGCAGCATCCGGAGGTGCCACCATGGTTTGGCTACTGGATGGTGTCTGTAATTTATCTGTGGAGAGGGTCTGGGTTTGGGTCTGGTGTGGTTGATTGGTGATGGCGTTCTGTGTGCCTCTGGATCTGGTGTCGGTTTTTGTGGGGAGGGCTAATTTCCAGATGTCTGGCAGGCGGGATGTGTCGTCACGCTTGTTCATGTTGTGAGGGTGTTTCTCTATCTCGATGGCTTCCATGATTATTCTCTTGTGGTGATGTTCCATGTTAGAGAGCAATTTGGAATCTGCAAAATTAATTTCGTGTCCTGTTTCTTTCATGTGTTGGAAAAGAGAGGAAGTTTTTTCTTCTTTTTTGACGGCATTCTTGTGTTCTGCGATACGTGCATTTATTCGTCTGTTTGTTTGTCCAATGTACGTGGCTGGGCAGACTTTGCAGGGTATTTCATAGACCCCTTGGTTTTCCAACTGGATTTTATCCTTGGGGTTTCTGAGGATATTGGCTATTTTTTGGTTGGTGCAAAAGGCTGTTTTGATATTGTGTTTATGGAGGATTTTGCTAATTTTATCTGTAGTGCCCTTGATATAAGGAAGGAGGGCCATGCCATTGTTTTCTTCTGTGTCTTGGTTTTTGGGGGGTGTTTCTTTTTGCATTAGCTTCGTAACCCTGTTTTGCTGGTATCCATTGGCGATTAACACATTGGAGAGATTCTGTAACTCAGTTGTCAAGTGGTCTTTGTCAGCCAGGCGTTTGGTTCTGGAGATGAGAGTCTTGGCTACGGAGTTTATTTGTGCAGGGTGGTGGTGTGATTGTGCATGTAAGTAGCGGTTGGTGTGTGTTTTTTTCCGGTAGATAGTGTGTCCTAGGGAGCCATCAGGTTTTTTGTAGATTAGGACGTCAAGGAAGGGAAGTTGGTTGTTGGCTTCTATTTCCATAGTGAATTGTATTTTGGGGTGTAGGCTGTTGAGATGTGTGAGGAAGCTATCTAGTTTTTCCTTCCCGTGTGGCCAAATTACTATTTTTTATTTGCAATCTACGAAAGCAAATATCTCACCTCTACGGGGAGGAAACCTTCCAAAACCTGCATTCCTGTACCCGTGAAAATCTACGAAAGCATATATATATATATATATATATATATATATATATATGCTTTCGTAGATTTTCACGGGTACAGGAATGCAGGTTTTGGAAGGTTTCCTCCCCGTAGAGGTGAGATATTTGCTTTCGTAGATTGCAAATAAAAAATAGCATTTCTGTATCAGACAAGGTATACTACTCCACATATACAAGGTATAATTTAAAATGCACTGAAACCTTCTATACAGCTTTGATGAAGTATGTGTATGCATTCTTGCCCCTCTCTTGATTGAAAAAAGTGCATTATTTATGAACCCAAGAAAACCTTGACCAATATAAATGAGCATGGCTTTGGAAAATGCCTGCCTATTTTGCTCCCCTTGTGAATATCAGTTCAATTAGTTGCTTGCACACTGATTCACAATGGGATCTTTCTGCCTAACATGATTGCTGTTACTTGAGGGGGAAAGCAACTGATGTTATTTTGATGCCCAGTAAAGTGATATGTGCAGCAGTCCCTATGTACATTAACTCTTAACCAGGCTGAGCCAAGCTGAATGTGGCTTATTTCCAGGTAAGTATGCATAAGATTGCAGCTGCTTCACTTATGAATATTTGTGTCCACTTATATAAAGGCAGAACACACACTCGGCACAAGATGAACCGTTGCTGAGTTGTAGCAGGTGAAATTTCAAAAGGAGGAATCTGATACAGTATTTGAATGCTTCCCTCTATCTTTAAAGTTTCCCTACATAGAAAAAGAAGCATCACAAGGAGAAGCCTATAATCCTAGGGGGTGGACAATAGGTCTATTTCTTATCTGTGTCACTTTTGAATGTGTTCACCCATAGCCTATCCTAACCTGTTTCTGCATCAATTTTCAATTTCAAAAGAAATACTCATCAAAATTCACATTTAAACACACATTTCTAGATATATTTCAGCAACACACATTTTGATGTGTTTTTGCTCTTGAAATACACATTTTAAAATATATCTTGAACAATATTTGAACGAAGCTGTTTCACACATGAAATACAGTGGTACCTTGGTTCCCGAATGACTTGGCTCCCGAACAAATCGGCTCTTGAACGCTGCAAACCCGGAAGTAAGTGTTCCAGTTTGCGAATGTTTTTTGGAAGCCGAACGTCTGTTTTGGCTGTTTCTAGGGCCAATCAGTCAACCAGAAGCCATGCCTTGGTTTGCGAACGTTTTGGAAGTCAAATGGACTTCCAGAACGGATTGAGTTTGGGAACCAAGGTACCACTGTACATCATTTGATGCTGAAGTCAACACGTGATAAATATGCAGAAGTGACATCATTCCTTCATCACAATTTATTAGCAGCATCTTCTTCTCCCCTCCCACCATACCATTATGCAGAGTGAATCAGTCTTCCTGGCAGGTGACTTGCTGTGGCATAATGGGGGGCAAAAGAGCAGGTGGGCAGGTGGGCAGGCAAAAGGGCAGGTGAGTGGATGGGCAGGAGGGGTGGTGGGCATTTAATTGCCATGCTAACACACCAGCAGAGGCAATCCAGCACTCCTGCTGGTGCATTTGCACCAAGTCACCATGCCCATCCCTGGATACCACAAAGACCTACCTGCCAAGAAGCTAGTATAGTGGTTTCACACGACTTGTTGAGCACCTTCTGGTGCAACTTTTGTTTATGCAAATGCTTCTAGCTCACAGATGTTCCCAGCTCATTTCTGAGAGCTGATATTCTAGTGTAGAAATTTCCCCTTACAGATATTGACATCTGCATAAACTTATCTGCATTGCACAAATTATTTGGCTTGCATCACAACTGTAGAACAAGAAATCTCCAACAGCACCAAAGGACTCAAATGTGTATTTTATTGACTTTTATATTTTTTTTTTAGTTCCTTCATCCTCTCCTCTATATGGAAGTATAATTATAGAATTGCCCAGCAGAGCAAGTCCCCCAAACCTTTAACAACAACAGCACCAATTTTTATCCCTTTACTCTTTTTACACTGTAGCACAGCATACAACACTCTGTGTCTTTACATGCCACATATACAGCATCAGGTGTAGAGAGGGTGAGTATAGCTTTGGAGAAATGGCCTTGTGGGCCAAATTAGAACTCTGCATGGCCTAATTTGGCCAGTGAGCCAGAAGCTCCCTATGCAGACATTTTCACCATGTAGGTGAAGCAGTTAAGTACTCTGCATTATCTGAACCATATTTAGTGCTCAAAGATAAGCTGCTAAAGAAGTACTGAAAACAGGCACAGCTTTCAAGCAGTCTATCAAGCCGGAAAAAGAAAT